ATAGAGAAGCTGTGGTATATTCACACAATGGAGAACTATGCTGCATTGAAAATAAGGAACTCATGAAATATGCAAAATGGATGATCCTGGAGGACACTATGCTGAATGAAATATCTCAGTCACAAAGGGCAAATACTTCAGAGTGATACTGTTGTAAAACGGGACTAACGTCAGAGTTGAGGGGAGACTGAGAAAGAGGGGACAAATAATGTATACTGCTTTGAAACAGATCAGGGAGAGAACTGTTTAAAAGGGCTATATGATTAGGCATTATTATCATGACAGGAGTCCAGAATGAAGGCTGCATAGTGGAGTGCACTTGGGGGGAGGGATTGTATAACAATGAAAGAATTTTTCTTTTACTTCTCAAAGAGAAAAGCGAATTGGGGGGGGAGGGGTGGATAGGGAGAAAAATGCAATAATGAATGAATGGGAAAGAAATGTCTATGATTTCATGAAAAACCAATATGCTTTGTAAACATTCACTCAATAATAAAAAAAGCCTTTATAAAACAAAAGTGTAGCAAAATATGAGCAAACTCAACTGAACTCACAGTAATAGAAGCAACTCAACTCAGTCAAGTCGGAACCAACTCACAGCTGACCCTCCAGCGGTGACTGGAAGCCCGAAGTCCATGAGAGTTTGTCCATCTTTCTCTCAAGGAGCCCCTGGTGGATTCAAACCTCTCTGACTTTTCAGACTTCAATAGTGAAGTGATCAAGTGGGAGGCACAAATTCTGCTCACACGGTAAAACAGCATCCTAGTCATGTTAAAAGTGAACATTCTTTTTCACACAATTGTGGAAGGTTAGCAAAAGAGAGGAAGACCCTCAATGAGATGGACTGACAGTGACTGTGGCAATGGACTCAAGTACATCAGAGAGGATGAGAACAGCACAGGATAGAACAACGTTCAGAACTGTTTTTCATAGGGTCACTGCGAATCGTACTCAAGGGCATCCAACAACAACATTAAACAGATCAAAAAGAAGCCAAACCCTAAACTGTGGGAGACAATTATCCATCAGTGTTAGCTGGCTCCACCTTTCTGAAGAACCTGATGTATGAAGGACAGGCCACACTTCAGAAATTCCAGATCAGAGTATAGACTAAACCTTCATTTCTCATGTTTCATGGACCCCCTTCCCAGCTTTACTCATAGCATGTACTGCAATTTAAAGCTCTACATATTTTTACTTCTCAATTTTGTCAACAAGCTGTCTCCTCTCATGGGCAGATTCTTTTGGTCACTGGCATCCTCGGTTTCAGAGAGCTCCACCAGGATTGTCTGTAGGGAATCATTCTGCGCAGCTAAATCAAAGTTTGTGCTTCTTGTGGTTTGAATTACCCACTGGCTCCAGAGCTGATTCTCAGTGCCAGAAACAGCTTGTTTTATACAAGGAACTCAGTCCTTGCTGAATAAATGAATGATGGATGAAAAGTACTTTGCCTGTCGTCAACTCACGACCAACTCATAGCTGACCCTCCAGTGGGTTTTCAGAGGCAATAAATCTCCCAGGAGATTTTGCCCAGCCTTCTCCCAAGGAGCAGCTGGTAGATTTGAACCACACACACTTGGGATTAATGCACAGTTTCTTACTACTAGGCCACCAATAAATTTAATTAATAATTGCACATTCATAATTTTAACTACCTTGCTTGCTCAAAGTGAGGACTTGAAGCACTTGCTTTAGAAGTTTAAAGATGCCTTCAATATGAGTTGTACCTCAATGTCAAGAAAGTAAAATCAGGGAGCTCTGATGGCCTAGTGGAAAGAAGCTGCATTGCAATCCCAAAGGTATGTAGTTCAAATCCACCAGATGCTCTGCTGGAGAAGAAGGGGCAATCTCCTCCTGTACCGGTCAGATCTGATTTGATGGTACACACACAAAGACTAATAAAATAAAATTAAAAAAAAAAGAAAGAAAGTAAAATCCTCGCCACTGGATTGAGAGAGAATATCATAATAGATGAAGAAAAGATTCAAACTGTCAATGACTTCACCCTACTTGAATCTACAATCAGAACATTTGGTACCAGCAATCAGGAGATCAGGAGATGTATTACACTGGGGAATTCTGTAGTCAGGGACATCTCTAAATTATTGAGGAGCAATGATGTCAGTTTAAAGACTAATGTGTGCCTGATTCAGGCCCTTCATGGCCTTTTCAGTCACTTGCTATGCATCTGAGAGCTGGACAATGAATAAGGATGACAGAAGAAAATGGATTCATTTGAACTATGTTGTCGAAGAAGAATGCTGAAGATTCAAGGGACTGTCAAAAGAACAAACAGATATACGCATGGAGAAGATGCAGTCAGAGTGCTCCTTGGAGACAAAGTTGATGAAGCTTTGTCTCACATATATTTTGGGCATGTTGCTAGGAGACTTTATTCCTTGGAGAGGGACATCATGCCTGTGAAGGTGGAGGGAGGGAGAAGTAGAGGAGGGTCCTGAACCAATTGGAATGACAGTGACTGCAGCAATGGGCTTGAGTGTGTCAGAGACTGAGAAGATGGCACAGGAAGGACAGGGTTCGGATCTGTTGTTCATAGGGTGGCTATGAGTCGTACTCGACTCAACGGCACCTAACACAACAACATCACCAGAAAATAGCTAAGCAAGTAATATTTACACCATAAAATGTAGCTGTTAAACATGAAACGTTAATTGAAAATATTTATAAATTATATTTAAAAAATAATCCCAACATCCCTATTTTAAAAATGTCTTGTGGTGTTACGCCCACTCAGAACTGAAGTAGCAACAACACGCCGCAGGGGAGGGAACCTGGATCTACCCTCCATTAACTTTACAAGGTTCATTTCCATCACCAGCAACAACAACAGATCAGTTCCTGTGAGACCAGACATGCCCTCCATGCTCCAAACCAATCATCCTCACCACACCCTCGACTTCTTCTGGGTTTGTAATTTGTTGCAATGGCCACACACAACTCAAGGACCATATTCACCATTATCAGGTCTAATGGAAGTAACGTTTACAAAGGATGAGGAACACTAGATCTACTGCCAGGACAGCCTCTTTCCAACTGCACCTGAAGGCAGGTCTCTTTCTGGTCTTGGCCTCTAACCTGACCGGACAAGTGTTACAGAACTCTTAGCTCTGCAATTTTAATTGCTCTGAAAAGCACCCGCTCTGCTATACAAGAACAAGAGGAGTTAGGTTCTAGCTCTAGTTCTGTGGGGGTCAATAAACCTAGCACTCTGACATGTCCCTAATCCGCTCTGGCAAATGCCTAGTCCACTCAGGCACCCAGTCTGCCAATAAGCCTCCTGCCCCAAAGACACTTGTCTTTCTCAGCCCAGAGCCCTGGCTCTCACTGGCCCCTGGACCTCTGGTGTTCCAGCTCTCTCTCTCTTGGATGTAGAAGTTCCATGACAGAGGTCTCAGGTCCAAAGGATGCACTGACTCTTAGGTCTTTTTACTTTTGGCAGAGATGCCCCCTTTCTACTTCTAGGAGAGCAAAACAGTTCAATCTCCATCCAGTATTTCCACATGCCTTACTCCATGGTCCCATCTCATAAGGGTGTCAGGTACTGTATTTCCCAATTCACTTGATGGGCCATTAAACACCTCCCCTTTGCATAGTCCTACTCGGTCATGTGGCAGGAGTTACAAAGACAATGGCTTAGAAGAGCCAAGCCAAGCAATTCACAACACCACAAGAGCATACGAAACTTTCAAAATATTCTAACAGCTTAAAATACTCAGGTCTGCCACACTGTGAGAAACAAGCCGCTATTGTTTCCATATGATGACTAACACAACAGTCAGTGTGAAGGAGGGCAGGGTGAGAAGTTGTTTTTACAAAGACTAAAAAGGTAGAAAGAGTCGACATTAAGTGACGGATATGGAACTCTCTCCGTACACTGCAGAGCAGTGTTACTTCTTCATTTATTTATTCTATGAATCAAATTCATTGTGGCATCATTTATGTACAACAAAATACACTTATTTTTGAGACCATCACCTGCGGTGGACACTCAGGTGACCTTGGCTGAGTGGGAAAGTGACAGTCCACAGGGTGTTGGAGCAAGGGCTCACCTCCTGCCATCGCCACAGGAGATGTGTCTCCTCGACAAGGTCCCCTGCCACCTGGCAGTAAGAGCACCCCTGACCTCGCTCACCAACACAGGTCTTATGTGATCCTGACTGCCAGGACTCATCAGGGTGAAGACAAGATGAGGAGAAAGAGGACACGGGCAGGTCCGTTAGGTGGGGAATGTGCCTCCGGTTCCTGTAAGGAGAGCCAGGCCCCATTACCTGCAAGCTGCTCTCCAGTCTTGAACATCCTTCCAGATCTCTGTAAGTTCATTTCCTTACTAGACTCAAGGAAGATGAACGCACACTTAAGTGACATGAGCAGCAGGAAGTCGTGATGCCAGAATTCACTTTTTGCTAAACTCTCTGGCTCTGAGTTGATTCCAATCCACTGTAAGCCTGGGGCCCGGAGCAGAACTGCCCTGGGGGGGTTTCTAAGGCTGTAAGCTTTCCAGGACAGGCTGCCTCACCTTCTTCCTGAGGCATGGCCTGTGAGTCACCAAACTTGGTGGTTACTGGCTAAACACTTTAACCATAGTGACATCAGGATGAGCCTCCACTTTAAGCCAGGCACGGTTTTCAGTGCAGTCTCTGGGATGGCACAGTGATAGTCATCACTCTGGCTTTGAAAAGCACAATTAACCGAAACCGGGCAGCTGGACCATTTCATTGAGGGTCAACATCTTAACCTCTCTCTGCTGAAGGAGGGTCACAGATTCCGCCCCATGTTAACTGAATGGAGCTGAAGGAAGTGAAGGTATAACATCACTCTGCCACTCAGCCATCAGTGGGTCCCAGTGGGCCAGACAACTTGAAACAGTACTGCCAAGATGTAAAGATCCATTTTTGCTAGGCAGCTTCATTAAAAAAATGAAAATTTTAAAAACCAGCTGTACAATAGTCCAAGGTAGCTGTCACTGCCTTTAAAGCAGGTCAGAGAATAGCAGGAGACAGTCCTCGGGCAAAAAAGGACACACTCTTATCCTGGATCTTGTACTGGTAAGTGAGGCTCTGCTCGCGCTGGGCTGTGGGCTGTGGCGGTCTCCTCCAGAGGATCGAGAGCTACAGAGACAAGGATAAAAAAGAGGAAACAGGAACCGTCATCCCAAGTACATGCTCCACTGTCAACGTCCCCTGTGTCCATGACCTCTGACAGAAGCTTCAGTGAGATCCACCGTCAAGTGTACCACGAGGTAATGAGACTGGAGTTTGAAACAAAGCTTATTACCAGCCAACTGAAAACAAAAGCTTCCCCCTCCCTTACAATAATCACATTTGTTCACTATAGGAAATGTGAAAAGAGAAAGCAAAGCAGAAAACGAGGGCGGGGAGAACCATCCAGATGAAACAAGACAATGTATTTTTGGGTATTTCTCACTGCTCTTTCATTTCTGCATCACTTCCTGAGGAAGGCTAGACTGTTATTTTGGTTATTTCTCCTAAAATGCTTTGGAGACTGGCTTTAGAGATAGGCCACAGGCCCTCACAGAGCACCCCCAGGTACCATCAACACTGCGTTTCTGGGCTTGGTCGTTTGCTTTACCTACTATCCATGCTTAAGGATGAGTCTGGGTCAAAACTCCCATCCTCCCCTTACTGGGTCAAGAGGAGCCAACACGAACTTGATCTGGAAGCTGCGAAGGTGGCTTTGGGGAGCTTCCAAGAGCACCAGAAGTAAAAGAACCACAATAGTTCCTCAATAGGCAAGCCATTTGGCTTCTGCCCCTAGTCCACTACACTGTGGACAGAGGTAGAAGCAACCTAGGCTATAGGTAGGGCCTCTTCAGGGCTCTATTTTAAAGGGAAAAGGTGTCCATCCAACTTCACAGGGCTCACTGCAACACTGCAGAGGAAGCTGGCTGTTCTTTGGCAGTCTGGCCTTGCTCTGGACAGCTGTTTTTCTTTAGGGGTGCTCCCTTTGGGCTGCAAAGGGGAACACCATGGAACTTGCACTCGTTTATGTGGCTGAACACGATCTGAGGCAGGTCTCTGCTTTCCATTCACACAGCTTCTGAGCTCTTGCAGTGAGGGAGCCTCTTGGCTCTGACACGCTCCCACATGCAGATGTATCAACACTGGGACAAACAGTCCATCACCAGCAAGCACGCGGCCCAGCCTCTACCTACCTGCCCATGCACATCCCGGCAGAAGCCAGTGGCCAGGCCCTCAGCCCGCAGGATCAGGTGGCTCTGGTGACTCAGTCCATTCAGCAGGACGTCACTGTCCTCATCCTCTGTGTCTCCATTGTCATGCACAAGGGCTACCATGTTTCCCTGCATCAGAGACAAAAAAGCGGAAACCCGGCCAAAGGGGACAGTCAGAATCAGGAAGCACTAAGGTCTCAGGCTCTCCTCTGCACTTCATCTCACAGGTTTGCCCTCTCTATTCTGCTGCAACTTTGTGGGAGCGACCCCCTCTGGGGGGCCCTAAATCCACTGTACAGTTTCCTCAGCATTTCCAACCTGTGTGAACTTGCGGGCTTCATTCACTCTGCAGTCTTCAAAATTAGTACTTGCTCAAATTCCTTAATGTCATTAAATTTAAGTGCCATAATTTTGTCAGGCACCAACCCATTCAGTTGCTCCAGAACGTACGTACATACGTGTGTGTGTGTGTGTGTGTGTGTGTGTGTGTCTGCAGTGGGAATAAGAGGTAGAGAGACAGATGGACACATTTACAAACAATGAACAGTACAAAAAAGTCAGGAAGGAAGCTTGGATGCCGGGAGAGTGTAAAGTACAAGTAACTTGTCCAGTCTGGACAAGGGGCTCAGGAGGTGAGGACAACAGTGCTTAAAAGGACAAGAAAGCATTAGCCAAACAGAAGTGGAGAAACAGCTTAAACTTGCTATAAGGGGTTAATCCTACATAATGACAAGTACTTCCAGATGTCAAAAAAGGATGTGGCAAATCCTTGTACTCCGTTTTCAGGTGTCAGATGCCAAAACGTGCTATATATATTGTTAAATGACAATAAAGAAGCAGATGCAGAGTGGATGACAGGTTACAAGTGGCAGGGAGAGGATGATACATCCAAATATGTGCACAACTGAAGACTCTCTCGGCAAAGGGAGAGAATTATTTTTTGATAAAACTCAAACTCAGAGTCTTTGCCCCTGAACTCCAGTTCTGTGGGGTCAATAAATCTAGCACTCTGACAAAAGCTTGAACACATCCACTCTGGCACCCAGTCTGCCAGTAAGTTTCTGCCCCAAAGACTCACTGGCTCCTGGCTCTCTGGTGTTCCATATTTCTCTCTCTCTGTGTCTCTGACTCTCTCTGATGTAGACGTTTCATTAACAGGAATCTCAGGCCCAAAGGATGCACTGTGCAGAAACTCCGCTGCGTTTCTGAGGCAGTAAATCACACGGCAGGGGTTTGTCCATTTTCCTCCTGCAGAGCCACTGTCAGATCTGTACTGCCAGAAAGGCCCAGCCTGTGGATTAGCACAGAATTCCCCAAGAACCAGGTCACAGAGTTTCTTATTTTTTTGCCATCATACCCTTACTGTGGGTTGTGGTTAATGTATTTTGTTATTGTTGAGGATTTGTGGAGCCAAACACACACCAGTTCAAGAGTGGCGCCACTCAGTGACCTTAACTCTGGTCTTCAAGTTGTCAAGCCCTCTCACTCTCCTCCCCAGAGCTGCTCCTCCTCCACAAAGATAAACTACCCCTGAGAGTAATAACCTAACCTTTCAAGTTGCTGCTGGCAATTTGATCTCGTAGAGATAATTCTTAAAAGGGCACGCCACTCAAGAAAAACATAGTTTATTGGTTTAACTAAACTGGATTTGATTTTAAGAAGATTTTAGAGATGTTTCTGGTTTAAATTTCAAAGGGTTATTTCAGGACGATAGTTTCAGGAGTTCATCTAGTTCCTATGGCTTCATAAAGTCCAGAGCCCATGTGAACAGAAAATTCTGCTCTAATTATGCTGGGTGACAAATATCAGTCACAAAAGAGCAATTACAGTATAAGAAAGGTTTAAACACAGAAACAATCTCAGAGGGTTAGCAGGAATGAAAAGGGAGGGAGAAAGGAGGAAATATTAATAAATAGACAAGGTGGGTGAAGGGAAAGGTGATCATATAATAAGAGTTAGATTAGACATTGCAAAGAATTAATTACTAATTACATTAAACAAAGGTTCTTACCACTGGGCCAACTGGCAGCATCATGATAGATGGTAAGGAGATTAAAATTGTTACTAGCTTTAGTTTGCTTGGCTCCACAGTCAACACTCTCGGCAGCAGCAGCCAGGAAATTAAAAGACGAAGTATACTGGGAAAGTCTGCTGTCAGAGACCTCTCCAGAGTACTGAAGAGCAATGATGTCAGTCTGGAGATTAAGGCACACCCGATCCAGGCCATAGTCTTTGCAATTACTTGCTATGCATTAGAGAACTGGACAATGACTGTGGATGATAGGAGAATTGATGCCTTTGAGCTGTGGTGCTGGAGAAGAGTATTGAATATACCATGGACTGCTAAGAGAACAAACAAGTTTGTCCTAGAGAGGGAGAAACCAGGCTGCTCCTTGGAGGCAAGGATTCTGAAGCTTCGTCTGACCTACTCTGGATATGTTGCAAGAAAGGACCAGTCCTTAGAGAGCAACATCATGCTTGGGAAGGTGAAGAGACAGTGCAAGAGAGGAAGACCCTCAATGAGATGGATTCATTCAGTGACTGGGGTAATGGGGGTAGGTGTGTCAGAGACAAAAAGATTGGCACAGGACAGAGCAGGGTTTAGGGCTGTTGTGCACAGAGTTGCTGAGTTGCAGGTGATTGATGGCACATAAAAACAAACAATAATTATAATTATTGTTAGGAAACAAAATGTCTATGAACAAACAATATATAATTTTCAAACTTTAAAACTGTAATGCAAATAAAAATTATTTTTAAAAATTCTGTTCTACATTTCTCCTCTTTTGATCAGGATTCTTCTCCAGAATTATTCTACAAATTGTTTAAAGGATCCTTGGTGGCACAATACATAATGTACTGGGCTGCTAACCTGAAGGTTGGCAGTTCAAATCCACAGCTGCTCTGTGGGAGAAAGATGGGCACTCTCCTGCTGGCACTCTCCTGCTATAAAAACTTACAGATTCCAAAACCCAATGGAGAGTCACTACAAATCAGAACTCATTCAATGGCAGAGGTTTTGGTTTTTACAATGTTTAAAGGATCCCTAGTAGCAGAAAAGTTAACGAATTCATCTTTTAGCCAGAAATTCAGTGGTTTGAACCCATCAGATGAGGTAGTTTGCTCTCATAAAAATGTACAGCCTTAGGGGAGCTCTGGTGGCCTAGTGGCAAGAAGCTGCACTGCAATCCCAGAGGAGCACAGTTCGAATCCACCAGATGCTCTGCCGGGAAAGGAGGGACAATCTCCTCCTGTACCAATCAGATCTGATTTGACGGTACACGCACACACACAAATAATAAAATAAAAATAAAATTAAAAAAATACTTAAAAAATGTACAGCCTTGTTTTTTTGTGTGTAGGCAATCTAAATACCATCAAGACTGAGGAAGACCCAGAAATTTAGGGGCCACAAGAGCCACGGCCATGACCACATTGGGAAGCACCCTGTGGCTTGCATCACCAGAGGATCAACTTTGACAAATAGCATCCAGGCTGTTTTGGGAAGGCTGGTATGAGACATTACCACCTGAAGAGGAATCAGAGCTTCTAACAACCTGACAACCTTGACAAATTATGGACCTTGGTCAGTGAACAGACAAAGGTAAATGCTGCAAAAACCAAGCCTGGACCTGCTCCTATCACTGATGTGGTTCGATCGGGCTGCTACAAAGTTTTGGGAAGGGAGAGTTTCCAAAGTTCCCAATGACTGCTTAGTAATTGGGAAGGCCAAATTCTTCAGCAGAGGAGTTGAGGTGAAAATTAAGGGCATTGAGGAGACCTGTGTACTGGTGGCTTATAGCTGTGTTAATGAGGTTGGTTAATGAAATGATTTCCCTTTTTTAAAAAAAAATACCCAGCCTTGGAAATCGTATGGGCAGTGCTGTAAGGTTGCTATGAACCGTAATAGACTCAACAGCCACGATGACATGATTTCTTTTATTTTGCTTTCTTTTTTAAAAAACTGTGTCCAAGTTTTACTTTTTCAACTAAAAGTAAAGAAGTAACTTCACTAAAACAATGGTGGTAGCAGGCCACTGAGCAAGCAACTACTTCCCTCTCATCCCAAGCCCCATCGTCAGCTATGACCCCCAAGCCCCTCGCATTTCCTCCTCATTCCGTTCCTTCGACGCCTCCCAGGTCCAGCCCTGCGAGTGTGGGCCAGGGCAGCCTTGGGAGGTCCCCTAACCTCAGCTCCCAGCCAGGGCTTTGCACCAAGGAGGCACCGGGGACACACTCCCAGACACTCCTAGCCCTGAATGGTCCACTGAGCACACCTCTTTCACTGCTCTGAGTGACCAGCCTGACCATTACTGACTATGTGGGAAAGTTTCTACTAGTTGTAGTATCACATACTAAAGAGAGGTCACCACATGCCAAGCATTTTGGCTGCTATTACAAGTCCCATTTCAACTCATTCTTGCTATTAGGGCCCTGTGAGGCAAGCACTACCACCATTCCTAGTTTATTCATTGGTCTCCTGTTACTATTAACATCTCTATTAGAACAAAAATCTCTATTTATGTCTCATAAATAAAAGTCATACCTTACCTTTGTATCATACTCATAATTTTTAAAGACGTCTACACTCATTAGGGAGCTTTGGTGGCCTACTGCTAAGAAGCTGTGCTGCAATTCTGAAGCTCCATGGTTCAAATCCACCAGCTGCTCCATGGAAGAAAGATGGGTAATCTCTCCTCCTGTGCAATATGTTGTTTGTTGCTGACTGCCTTTGAATGGAGCACGACTCATAGCGACTCGATGAACTAAAGGCTTAAAGCCTTTCTATAACTATCGACATTTATCAAAGTTCATAAAGTTTCTGGAGGCATCTTGTTTAGGAAGTGGATGCCACACCTGCTTCCCATCTGTGCAACATACTGCCTCTAAAAACCTGCTAGAGGGTCCGTTATGCACTGGTTCCAACTCAACGGCACGTAACAAACCCATCATCTCAGTTGATCCTCAAAATACATGTTGCTGATAGCAACTTGCAGCATGTCACACAGGTAAAGTGTGGCGAGCTGAGACGGCAATGGCACATGTGACCAGTCCCAGTGAAGGGAATGTTGGTCATCCCTTTAATTTTAATATGTTTAACACTGGGGGGAGAACAAAACATTTCTGATTTGTTGCTGTAAAGCAAAAACCTAAAATAAACAAAAAAACCATCAGTGCAAGCATGTGAGGTGGAGACCAGTAAGAACTCTGTGAGGCTCCAGGAGGGGATATGGAGAGTGGGCCCAATGATACCTTTAGTTGGCAGCACACAGTGGCCCTGCAGTATTGGACAAAGTCCAGTATGGCCACCGGCCCCACGCCCAGGCCGAGCAGCACACTGAGGTCATCCAGCAGCAGCACCGGGTACCTCCAGGCAGCCTCCCCACTGTCCACGGGCTTCACGGCCTCCTTCACAAACTCATAGAGCGGCCGAAGATCCTCAGCAGTGGCCTTCCTGCAGACACAGGGCAGAAGTCACTGCTACGCATTTACCTGGGACCAAGCTGCTCCACAGGAAATGGCAGAGAGGGGGACAGTGAGATGGGTGCATCACAGCCCTTGACACCAAGGAGTTCACAATCTGCTTAGAAAGAAAAAGCAGGAATGCAGGAGTGAATGAGCTTGACTCCACAATGCACTCTACCAACCACTGTGTGGCCATGGGCAACTGACTCCAGAGCAAATGTTTACTGAGGCCTCAAACTCAGTGCTGCTGAGTCGGCTCCAGGTCAGCAAGCATCCAGGTTCCAAGGCTGTAAATCTTCACAGGAAGAGGAGACTGCCTGCCCATCTTTCTCCAAAGGCCTTTACGTTAGCAGGTCAACACACTACAGCTTCCACCACCAGAGCTCTTCCTATGGGCTACCAGGTCTAAAAGGAGCCCTATTCAATAGTCACTGGCTAAGCAAAAGTCTGAACCCATGAGCTGCTCCATGAGATAAAGCTGTGGCAGTCAGCTTTACAACCCTGGAAACCCGTGAGGGTCACTAAGAGTCAGAAGCGACTTGATGGCAATGGCTTTGGTTTTACTAGGCATGAATCACTCTGCTAGAAAAGAAAAGCAGCACTTAGCAGTTCCTGGACCCCTTAAGAGCCAGAGACCTTCCCAACCAAAGAGCCCTAGGGGGTTACTTTAGATTGAGCAGTCAGAACTCTCCCTAGGTGGTCACTCTTCAGTGCAGGAAGTCAAACAGCAATGCACACGTGGTGGTCTACAGGAGGCTTGTACAAACAATTGATTCAATCTGTTTCTGGCAAGTTGGCTTAACTACCCCTCATATTTTTCAACTACTACCCTCACAAATAAATCTGTCTTGGAGGAAGTGCAACCAATGTGCGCCTTTGAGGCAAGGATGGTGAAATTTCATTTCACGTACTGTGAGCAGGCTGTCAGGAGGCAACAATTCTTGGAAAAATAGATCATGCTGGAAAAGCTGGAAGGCCAGAGAAGGAGAGGAAGACCTTCACCAGGATGGACTCACACAGTGACTCTAACAATGGACTTGAACATATCATGAAGATGGCACAAGATAAAGCAAGGTTCAGATCTGCGGTTCATAGGGTCACCATGAATCAGGTGACTTGATGCCCCCTAACACCACCCGAGAACTGCTGCTCACAGCGTCACTGTGAATCACAGCTGACTCAACAGTACCTAACAACACCCCAGAAACCATTTCTTAGCAATGAGTGGAGGCTCAAAAAAACACAGGACACAAGACAACTGCCCTATTGGTATACAGTTGTTTTGACAATGCAGCTCTGCTGAAACAGCTCAAAATCAGCCAGAGAAAACAAGTAAAAAAAAAACCCCAAATAAACATGGCTGTGTTCCAATAAAACTTTATTTACAAAAATAAGAGGTTGGCCCATGAACTCTAATTTTCTAACTTCTATATCAAACCAAGAATAGAGTAACTATGTTACCAGTAGGTAACACTTTCCACAGCTTTTTAGAGGTCTGGTAGTGTTATTGTTAAGCTGTTGGCTGTTAACTGAAAGGCCGGCAGTTCTCCACCCACCCACTCCACATAACGATCTCCATAAAGATTACAGCCTAGGAAACCACTCAGTCACATGAGGTCACTAAGAGGCATGATGGATGGACTCAACAGGATACAGCAACACAGCTTTTTGGTCAGCAATCCATCAGCCTCTGTCTTGTGACAAGAGCCAAGGGCTTTCTGACAGAGTTGTAATATCGCAATTATCTGACTTCAAAAGGCTGATCTGCCTTCTCATGCCATGAAAAAGATTCACATGACAGCACTTGTATGGTCTCACCCACCACGTGTGCACTTGTGCACGGGGCCTCGGCTGACTGACCTGAGAAACTCCAAGGGGTGTGGCTTCTCCTGGGTCCGGAAGAAGACATCCACTGAGGACTTGAGACCCTCAAGGAACACAAGCTGCCCACGCTCCCGGGCAGCCGTCAGGCTGACGCCCTAAACACAGCAAAGCAGAGAACGTGTTGCTAAGCCTCGTAAAGGGCCCATCAGAAAGGCTGGACTCCAGCTCACAGGAGGGTGCAGGACCCAGCCAATCCCAGCCCAGGTGAACCCGGCTCTCTATGAGCGTGGGCCCATGGCTCCCTTCCCCTGGGCACACTGAACCCACAGTCCTTGTTTCATTTTCTGATGTCCATTTATGTTTTAACTGTCATGTCGGGGAGGGGGGGAGCCCCAAACCACATGTACATTCTATTGTTCAAGTATTTCTTTTCATGACTACCCAATAGTTTTATTTTATAATAGTGACAGAATATTTCCTTTGTAAACACAGGTATTTGAAAAAATAATCACGTTTAAAAGCAAATGTTAAGTAAATAACAACAATAAAGGAAAAAAACCAGTCTAGAAAATGCTGAGGTAGGACAAAGGGCTGGACCAAAGGCTTTGAATTTCACCAGCCCTTTGGATGTTTTCCCATCAGCGACCCAGGACCAGGGGTTGTTCTTAAGTTTTCAATAATGTAATTCAAAGAACACACTTGTTAGACTCCCTGGCATACCGTTAAAAAGCATCACGGGTTAAGTTCACTTTGGCAAACTTTTTCTGTGAAGGACCACAAAGTAAATATTTTTTAATCTGCAGGTCATACAGTCTCTTCTCTGTTTCAACCACACAACTCTATCATTGAAGGTTGTCACAGACAATTTAAAAACAATGGATGTGGTTGTCCACCAGTAAAACCTTATTTACAAAAACAAGGGTTTGCTGACTTCTACTCTACCAGGATTTCCCAAATATGATTCTTCCTCAACCTTCCAAGTATAAATCCTTTGAGAGACTTTTTTAAAAATTTTTTTTGAGAAACTTTTTTTAAAAATTATTATTAGAGAGAGAGAGAGTGTGTGTGTGTGTACCATCAAATTGGATCTGACTGCTACAGGAGGAGATTGACCCTCCTTCTCCAGCAGAGCATCTGGTGGATTCGAACCATGCACCTCTGGGATTGCAGTGCAGCTTCTTGCCACTAGGCCACCAGAGCTCCCTTCCTTTGAGACTCTTATGATTAAAATGTAAATTTCTGCATCCTGCTTCAGTTTGAGAGAATAAAAAGCTTGGAAGATCAGTGCCCAGAAACTCACCTTTCAGCAGTCAGATAACTGCTCTGACTACCCTTCAAAGTCCCACTTCCTTGAACAATATTTCAATTGCTCATTCACACACCAGACATCCGGTGTCTTCTACCATTCACTGTGCCCTGGTTGAAGGGAAGATTCCTGATCTTCACCTTTGCGCCTGTTCATTACCCTTCTCCATCTGCAAGTTCAGTAATACTCCAAGAGTCTACAGGCTCACATGCCAAGTCCTGCACAGCCTTTCTGACATATTGCTGCTGCTGCTGCTGCAGGCAATTTTTTTTAAATTGCCCACAAAAAGCACAGAGCATTCTCTCCCCCACACACACAGACCTTAAGGTCAGGGAGACGTACTTCAGAGACCTAGAACAAAATGCCTACTCTGACAACTGCAGTGATCCTGAGCTCACACCTGGCCTCTAACATAAGAAACCGTCTGCAAAGGATAGGAATAAGAATTCACCCTTCTATTTGTTTCTTGTTGTCAAAGAAGGGAAAGTGACTTGGCCTAAAGATAAGAAGAAGATTTTAGAACCACTGCCCAGGAGTGGCCTATTTCACTCCCTCTCTGAAGCTTGCCTGTCTGACTCCTTTCAACTTCCACTCTCGGACAAGAAGTCTACCTGGTCTTGGGGTCACAGGTAATGGTCAAGTAGGCCAGGAGACCCACCAGTTTCTTGGTCACCTCATTCTTGCCTGTCTCCTTTTAATGGAGTAAAGAGCAGGTCAATACTGCCCAGCTAGTAGGTGACAAGAGTACTACCCTCCATCTTTAGGTCCTGAGCCCTAAACCTGGAGTCAATGAGAGGTACTCCACTTGGTTGGTCACGTCATGATCTATAACCCAGGAGGATCAAGACTGAAGGCCACGCTAATTTCAATTTCTTCAGCTCCTAGGTTTTCTCCCTAACTGGTCTTTAATAAAGAGAAAGGTTTGAGTAATTATCACCCACAAACAACACATCTGGTTCTAACACACTCTAATTTAACAATGGAGGCAGTGAAGGTCTCTAGGAAACCAGAATTTCCTTAGTTCCTTCTTGGCTAAGTTCTCCACAACCCACACAGGAAAGCCCAGCCTCAGACCAGCCACACACATGAAGGTGACATGTATCCATGTGCAGGGGACATGCACACACGTGTGAGGGACATGCACACACGTGTGGGGGACATGCACTCACTCAGGGACCCCACCTTGGGGGTCTAACACACTTACCAGCTTCTGTCCCACGATATTATAGTGACTGAAGGACTGGATGAGGGCCACAAAGCAGACTTTACAATTAGCTAGAAAACAAAATACATTGAGTTTAACAAAGTCCCAGCTAGCAATGAACCTCCTACACTTTATACCTCTGGGAACCAAAGCACTCAGGTGGGTTGAGACCCAGACGCCTTTGCTGTCTCATATACTGAATTTGATTACAAAATGCACTTCTTTTCCTATTTAAGTTAGACCTGATTTCAGTGATTCTGAGATTAATTTCTTCTCTTGGATGTCCTACTACAGATGTTGCTGTCAGCTGCCATCAAGCCAGCCTCTGACTTACGGGGCCCCCTCACACAGCCTGATGGCACACCGCCCAGCCACACACCACACCACAGCTGGTTGGGGAGAGGATCCTTGCGCTGCATCGGGTTTGCAGTGGCTGATTTCAGAAGCAGATTGCCAGGCCTCAGATGTGCTACCACCTACTGGTATCAAGTCTATTCTGACTCAAGGTGACCTTCCACCAGACAACCATGGCTGTAAAGCTCTGCAGGAGGACATAGTCTAGCTTTCTGCCTTGGAGCAGATTCAAACTGCCGGCCTCACAGTTAGAAGCCTGACATGTTATACACTCCAGAGCTCCTGTCCATCAGTATTGCAGAATTCAGTATTTACAACACAGAGGAGAATTACATCTGATCACAGATGGATGATGACGACCAAATACTGAAAACCTTTTGGTTATCAGGGAGTGCTTAAGCACCAGCCACCATAGCTCCATTTGAAGATTACATGGCTTTATTTTCTCATCTAGTTTTCTTCTTCAAATCTATTTCTGTATGTAAACTGTGGTGGTCACCTTGTCTTTTCCCCCTATGTTAAGTATCCACTACCAGTCACAAAGGGAGCTCTGGTGACCCAGTGGCTAGGGAGCTGAGGTATCAAACCAAAGAGAGGTGGTTCGCATCCATCAGCTGCTGTAAGATGGGCAGTCTCTTCCCAAAAAATTTATAGTTTCTGAAAACCCAGTGGGGTGTCAGCTATCAGTTAATTTCAAATAGACAGCAATGAGGAAGAAAGCAGTGACAAATGAGCAGTAGAGAGATCTCCAATGAAGAATCTGAGAGATCGCGAGACACATAAGGACTGAGGAACGACCAAAGCTGAAGGACCTTTCGTTAGGACTGCAGTGAGGCAGTACCAGCACAGAAGGAAGAGAAGAGAGACAGGATGTGGACACAGTGGACTCATACCAGTCTTTGGCATAGTAAGGGGAAAGATACCCAGTAATCTGTTGCCTAACAAAATAGCCTCCTGGGACTCGTCCTCATGACTGCTAAGTCCCAGAGCCTGGTGAGCACAGGACGGGGAAGCTCTTTAAGCTCTTAGGAATTTCAGATGCTGAAAACATTCCCTGTGCACATGATTTATCAGGATCTGTTGTGACTGGCTTTGGACATTTTTTATTAACCAGTAGAATTAGACCAGCATGTGATGTTGGAGTAGGAGGGATAATTGGGGTCACTTTACAATACTGGTTTCATTCTAGGTATAATTATGCAAAGCTATGAATCCATGAATGAACTGCCAGTGCAGGAAGAAAAAGATTTTATATGAAAAGCACTTATCTTGATCCTGAAAGAAAACAAATTAGTGGCCACAGAAGCAATGGAGCAGTTTTGAGCAGCGAACAACAAAAGAAAACCCACTGAAATCTGTGTTCCCAAAGCTGAGATCCAGTAAATAATCACTTTATGTACAATAAGAAAGCTTTCAATCAAGTAAATAAAACATGTGTTAAGTTGTCTTCTCATACATACACCCCTACACAGATGGGACAGGTATAAATAACCTGCAAATTAACTCTGGCCCTATACAACAGTCTTTCATGTTATATACAGTAAACTGTTCACATTTAAAACATTAACAGAAACTACTGGCAGCATTTTGGAAGAGTAAAATTATAAAATCTATTCTTTCACGTGAGAACTCTCCTTCATAGGGTCGCTATGAGTCGCCTGCGACTCGATGGCACTTAACAACAACATCAACTTGGAGGGATCAGCTGGCCCAGTGGACAGAAGGCGATGCAACAAAGCCGAAGGTGAGTGACTTTTAATCTGCGGCCCTCAGGCCTGTCTTTCATTGTTTTTGCTCAGACATTCCTCTAAGTCGTATAGCCTGGGTGTACAAGTTGCCGTATAGGGGTCACTTGTGGTTGCTGTGAGGCTGAACACTGTGACACTGATGTGTCAAATGCATTAACGGCTGGTTACCCAATGTGGACAGAGAGTGGGGTGGAGCTCCCCAATTAAAACAAGCTTGGAAGTAGGAGTGGCATCCACTTCTGTAAAAGCTTGCCTCCGGAAACCCTATGAACCTGGAGAGGATGAGAGACACCCAAGTGTTGAGGACTCTCCTTCATAGGGTTGCTATGAGTCACCTGCGACTCGATGGCACTTAACAACAACAACATCCTTTCACGTGCTTGGACACGCGTTTCTTTGTCGTAAGCATGAGCTGAATGGCAAGCATTTCAAGACATAAAAATCTCTCCCAGGCGAGCTCTGGTGGCCTAGTGGCAAGAAGCTGCAACTGCAGTCTCAGAGATGCACGGTTCGAATCCACCAGATGCTCTGCTGGAGAAGGAGGAACCATCTCCTCCTGTACCAGTCAGATCTGACTTGATGGTACACACAAAAAAATAACAAAATAAAAATAAATTTAAAAAAAAATCTCTCCCCGCTGAATTTAAATAAAGAAATAAAATACTCTTCAGGCAACCTAAATATCAAAGCCCTGGATAATGAGTATACTTTCTTTTTGCTTCCTGAAGCTTCTTTTATGTGTCCTACCCACCTTGCTGATGTCAGATGGATCCTGGCTGAAAATAAAGAATACCAGAAGAATGTCTATTTGTGCATTATTGACTATGCAAAGGCGTTTGACTGTGGATCATGACAAGCTGTGGCTCACACTGAGGAGAATGGGAATCCCTGAGCACTTGATTGTGCTTATGAGGAACCTGTACCTAGACCAGGAGGCTGTTGGTTAAACGGAGCAGGGGAGCAATGCATGGTTTGGAATTGGGAAAGGAGTGCATAAGGAATGTATTCTATCTTCATACCTATTCAATCTATATGATAAGCAAACTACCTGGGAAGCTGGACTCTTCAAGAAATGTGGCTTCAGGATTTGAGGGAGACTCATCAATAACCTGTGTTATACAGATGGCAACCTTATTTGCTGAAACTGAGGAGGATTTGAAGCACTTGTTGCAGAAGATCAAGGAATACAGCCTTCAGTGTGGATTGTGTCTCATTATCAAGAAAACAAAGATTCTTCCACTAGTCCAATAGGCAGTGTCATGATGGATGGAGAGGAGACTGAAATTGTCAACAGCTTCGTCTTGCTTGGATCCACAATTAAAACCCTTGGTATGAGCAGTCAGGAAATAAGGAGATGCACTGCACTGGGAAAATCTGCAATTAAGGACCTTTCCAAATTATTGAGGAGTAGTGATGTCAGTTTGAGGACTAAGGTACATCTGATTCAGGCCATGGTCTTTCCAACTACTAGCTATGCATCCAAGACCTAGACAATGAATAAGAATGACAGAAAAAGAATTGATGCCTTTGAGCTGTAGTGTTGGAGAAGAGCACTGACCATCTCATGGATAGTCAAGAAAACAAATAGATATGTTTCTTAGAAAGGGTGCACCCAGAGTGCTCTTGGAGGTAAGAATGATGAGGCTTCACCTCACCTATTTTGGACATATTGCTAGGATGTGCTATTCCTTGGAGAAGAACATGATGTTAGGAAGGGTGGAGGGTGGGTAAAGGAGAGGAAGACCCTCAACCAGGTGGATTGACAAAGTGACCGCCGCAGTGGGCTCTTCTGTGTCAGGAAGGGTGAGGATGGTGCAGGACAGGACTAGGTTTAGATCTTTTGTTCATAGGGTCACTGAGTTGTACTCGCCTCGATGGTACCTAATAACAACACCCACCTTGGATTTCTCTTGCAATTTCTCTTATCAACAAATTCCATACCTTTGAGGTAGAAGGAAAGAAAGTGGTGCACAAGGAAGCTCCCATCTGTCTTGGCATCACAGAGAAGAGTCAGCTTCCCCTAAAAGTTAAGAGGAACACAAACAGGTGAATTAGATTCTATGGGAAAAGGGAAGCAAGCGTAAATACCTAGTCAACTGTCCACCCTACCTCTACACCTGGAGATCTTATTTTCTTCATGATACCTGTGCTGAGTTTAAGGGCCTCTGGTGGCACAGTGGCTAAGTGTTTGGATCCTAAACAAAACGTCAGCAATTTGAAGCCCCCACCACTCCACAGGAAGAAGATGTGGCACTCTGCTGCTGTGAAGACTCCAGCCTTGAAAGCCCTGGAGGATAATTCTGCTCGGTCATGTGAGTCAGTCACTCAACAGCAACAGGTATGTAAAGTTTACCAAAAGAAGAAAATCAGTACAATTTATGGAAAAAAATAGGGGGTTAAAGTGATCGGCATAAAGTCATTCCTAATGGGCAAGCCAAGAATTTCTATAAGCCTCCACTTTTCAACAGCAAAACAGAAAACAAAATCCGTTCTCTTCCTGACTTCCCATTTTCTCTCTCAGGGTCCAGTCTTGGGAAGAATATGATCCTGGAAAAGAATGCACTATAAAGCTCTGATGAAAACCACAGGCTGATAAAATTTGAAGGGACGTTTGAAAAGGTCATCTGATTCAGCTTCCTCTCTTTCTAATTTTAATACCAACTCCATCCCGTGCCAAGAAATGTTTTTATGTATGGTGGAGTTGGACCTGACCCATAGCTGGCCCTGTAGCGGATTTTCAGAGACAATGAGATTGCCCATCTTTCTCCCGCAGAGCAGTTGGTGGATTCCAATCAGATACTTTTGGGTTGCTAGTACAACTCCTTACCAGATCTCCCTTTTGGGTGAAACAGGAGAAGAAAAAATGACTGCTGGCAGAGCTCTCCAGCAACAAGGTGCTCCTACTGGTTCTGGACATTGCTTTTGGTACAGCACTTTCATCTTTGAGAACCTTGAGGAAAAACTACCACGTCTGGGCTGCCTGCTCCAGCCACCTCAGTGAACTGTATTATGATGTATCCTCTCTGTGTACAGTATGATCTTAGGCAAGTGCTTTAGTTTTTCTGGGCTTTTTTCCCCTTCTTTTTTCCACTTATCCCCTGTGCTGTCATCTACTCATGTAGGTCTCTTGTCCACTTCAGTAGTCCATTCCTTCACTCTGTCTCGGACTAAGGGCTTGGAAGTGTCAGGAGTAAGTGGCATGGAAATCAAAGCTACCAAGAACCCCGACCTAAAACGTTAAAGACTTCTAAGATATTCTTTCCTATAACAAACGGGAACAGGGAAGCATATAAAAATGAAGAGAGGTGCTTCAGCGTGCGAAAAGTTGGAGAGGAAACAGACAAGCCTGTGATGCCGAAAAACGAACTCCTACAACTCAATGAGGATAGAAACTACTTGAAATCAGGAGGACAAAAATGAAGAGGAATAGCGCTCAATGTGACAGGCCTAGAGGAAGACTCAGAAACTGGCCTAAGGTGAGGAACAGAGGATCTCCAACATCCTCTTGGCACCAATTCCTGTCCCTCCCCCCCATCAAAGAGCGAACAGTATATATATATATATATATATATATATGCAGAAGCATAAGAAACTCCAGTTGTTGGGCATTTGGACATGATTTCTGAGATCTTTGTAAGAGGCCTGAAGTCTTTTAGAAGACACTTTACAGAAGCACACCTGTCAAAGACCAAGGTCTTGCTTAAGCCCCGGATGGTCCTCTCCGAACTACAACTCCCAGGTATCCCTTGCGCACAGACGTCGCGACATTTTGACGGCGCCCTACGCACCGCATCCGGGAAGGCAGCTCACCCCTTGTTCCTAGATTAACCTTTTGCTCAACTGCGCGACATCTTACCTGCTCCGCTCTGTCAGGGGCGGTGTTCAAAAGGTTATTGAGTTCTGGGAACATGGCGAGCTCCCGGGGCGAGCTCCCGAGACCTGTAATTGAGGGTTTACAGATGAGAAGTGCCGACAAAAGCAACTCGCCGCCCCTGTCCTGCCGTGCAAATGCGCGTGCGCAACCTGTAGCTGCCCTGTTTCCGGCGCACTTGGGATGACATCAGAGGGATCGACCTGGAAGCTGCAAAAGGCTGTTAAAACAAAACAAAACAAAACAAAAAAACCACCCCACAAAAGGCTGTTAAAATTCTGGCTCCTTCTCTGTGCATGTTCTCAGCGCCCAATAGCTGTTTAGTCCCGCAGTTTTATGCCACCTAGTTCTCCCCTCCCACACTTTGGCCTCATGTTCCTCCCAAGCCTCCTGCCATATGGCCCGGCTACACATGTCTTTTGAGACCTTGCTTTTCGTGCCCTACTCTTCCAGGAATTTAGGTCAAACTAATAAATGCGATGGGAAAGATCCTACCCTTGCAGAATTACGTATTTAAAAGTGATGAATTATATGAAGAGAAACAGGGAATAACCCCATGGGAGAGGGGAGATTTCCAGTTAAAGAAGTTACCAAGATAAGGCTTACTAAGAAAATACCATTCGCACAACCTGGGGAGGGCAAAGTCAATGAATGGGACCTTCTAAAAATTAGATCCTTTTATGCCTCAAAACCTTTTTCCAAAAAACTATCCAATTTGTTATGTGTCTTCTAGTTGGCAGTCTGCAACTCTAGCGTTCCTATATAAAATAGTTCTGAACTCAGCCTTATCTTGGCCAGTCTGTCATCGACACGCCCCATTACCCCAGTTACTATGCCAATCCATCTCATCCGGGGTCTTCCTCTCCTGCGTTGTTCGTGTACCCTTCCAAGCATGATGTTTATCTCCAGTAACTAGTACCTCTTGGCCACATGCCCAAAGTATATGAAATGGAGCTCCAAAATCCTTGCCTCCAGGGAGCAGCCTGGCTTCATCCTTTCCAGGACAGACCTGTTCTCTTGGCAGTCAGTATGTTCAATACTGTTCTCCTGACCCATAATTCAAAGCCATCAATTCTTCTTCTGTCATCTTTGGTCATGGTCCAGCTCTCTGATGCATAGCAAGAAACTGCGAAGACCACAGCCTGAACCAGGTGCAATTTGGTCTCCAGACTGACGTCGTTGTTCTTCAGCACTGTGGAGAGGTCCCTTACACCAGATTTTCCCAGTGCAATTCTTCTTTTGATTTCCTGACTTCTGGTGTCAAAGAGTGTTGATTGTGGATCTAAGCAAGTTGAAATTGTTAATAACCTCAATCTCTTCTCCATCATGGTATTGCCAGTTGGCACAGTGGTGAGAATCTTTGTCTTCTTGATATTGAGCTTCAGTCCTTGACTACATGCAGGTCCTCCTCAGTTTCAGCAAGCAAGGTTGTGCCATCTGCATAATGTAGGTTGTTGATGAGTCTTTCTCCAATCCTAATGCCACATTTCTCCTTATAAAGTCTAGCCTCCCTAATGATTTGTTCTGGATATAGATTAAAAAGGTGTGGAAACAAGACACATCCCTGACACACTCCTTTCCTGATTTTGCACTATGCAATGTTTCCTTGCTGTGTTGTGTCACCTGCTTCCTGGTCCAAGTATAGGTTTTGCATGAGCACAATCAAATGTTCTAGAATTCCCATTCTTCTCAAGGGTAGCCACAACTGTGATCCACACAGTTGAATGCCTTTGTGTAGTCAATGAAACACAGACATTCCTCTGCTATGCTTTGCTATCAGCCAAGATCTGTCTGACATTGGAACTGGTACAATGGCCTCTTCAAAACCTAGTCTGTATTTCTGGTAGTTCTCAGTATTTCTGGATAATTTTCAGCAGGATTTTGCTTGCATGTGATATCAGTGACACTATTTCCACATTCTGTCAGGTCACCCTTTTTTGGAAGGGAAACCAAAAAATGGATCTCTTCCAGTTACCTGGCCAGGTAATTGTCCTCCATATTTCTTGGCACAACATCGTGAGCCTGTTCAGAGCAGCATTTTTCTGTTCAATTATATCAATTGGTATTTCCTCAATTCCTGGGCCCCTGTTTTTTGCCAATTCCTTCAGAGCAGCTTGAATTTCCTCCTGCATTACCATAGGCTCTTGATCATATGTTGTTTCATGAAATTCTTCTGTGTCAGCCAACTCTTTTTGGTGCAGTGACTCTGTGTACTCCTTCCATCTTCTTTTAATATTTCCTGGATCATTCAATTCTTGCCCATAGTGAAAAAGAATTTGTTGTTGTTATGTGCCATCAAGTCATTTGTGACTCATCGTGACCCTATGTACAAGAGCCCTAAATGCTGTTCTATCCTGTGCCCACCTCACTGTCTCAAACACATTCATTCCCACCACTCCACTCACAGAATCAATCCATCTCATCGAGGGTCTTCCTCTCCTGCACCGTCCCTCCACTCTCCCAAACATGATGTCCCTCTCCAAGGACCTGTCCCTCCTTGCAACATGCCCAAAGTATGTCAGATGAAGCTTCAGAATCCTTGACTCCAGGGAACATTCTGGCTTCACCCTCTCCAGGACAAACCTGTTTGTTCTCCTAGCAGTCCATGGTATATTCAGCACTCTTCTCCAGCACCACAACTCAAAGGCATCAATTCTCATTCTATCATCCCTATTCACTGTCCAACTCTCCGATGCATAGCACGTAATTGCAAAGACTATAGCCTGGATCAGGCTGCTGTTACCAAGAGTGTTGACTGTGGAGCCAAGCAAACTAAAACTGTTAACTATCTCAATCTCTTCACCATCCATACTGATGCTGCCAATTGGCCCAGTGGGAGAACCTTTGTTTTCTTGATATGGAGCTTCAATCCATATTGAAGACTGCAGTCCTTGACCTTCTGCAGCAAGCGCTTCAGGTCCTCCTCAGTTTCAGCGAGCAGGGTGTGTCATCTGCATAACGCAGGTTGTTGACGATTCTTCCACCAATCCTGATGCCACATTCCTCCTCGTACAGCCCAGCGTCTCAGATGATCTGTTCTGCATACAGATTGAAAAGGTATGGAGACAAAATACATCCCTGACGGACCCCTTTCTTGATTTTGAACCATCCAGTGTCTCCCTGCTCTGTTCTGATGACCTGAAATATTGATATAGTTTATGCAATCTGAAGGACAGAGAAAGTGAGGAAAATAAAGCCTCAGAGAAATGAATGATAGATGGAGAAAATATTGAAATTGTAAACCATTTAATCTTAGTTGGATTTACAATAAAAAAAACTTTTTTTTGGTACCAGCAGTCAGGAGATCCAGAGACATATTGCATTGTTGTCATGGAAATTACTGAGGAGCAACGATGTCAGTGTGAAGAATAAGGTGTGCCTGATTGAGGCCACAGTCCTTTCAATTGCTTGCTGTGCATCTGAGAGCTGGAAAATGAATAAGAATTACAGAAGAAGAATTGATGTCTTTGAGCTGTGGTGTTGAAGAAGAGTATTGAATATCTCAAGGACTGCCAAAAGAATAAACATATTTCTTGGAAAAAGAACAGCCGGAGTGCTCCGCAGAGGGAAAGATGGTGCTGGTTTGTCTTGCTGGATTTGTTGTTAGTAAAGGCTACTCCTTGTAAAGAAATATCATACTTGAAAAGGTGGAAGGACAGTGAAGAAGAAGAAACCCATCAACCAGGTGAATTGACACAGTAAGTGGAACTATGGGCTCACGTATTTCAAACATAATGAGGATGGCACTGGACAGGACAGAGTTCAGATTTGTTGTTCATAATGTCACTATGAGTTGTACTTGACTCAATGGCACCTAACAACAATGGCACAGTGACTTCCACGGCCCAGAAAATACTATGTGGTAGTTCTATTCTGTAATGCATGAGGTCACCATGAATCCTAATTGACTTGATGACAACAGGTTTATCCTGTATGTAGTTTTGTTCTAGACTAATAATGCCAATTTAAAAATAAGGTAAACTGATCCAAGCTGTAGTCTTTTCAATTACTTGCTATGCATGTGAAAGTTGAGCAATAAAAAAGGATAACAGAAGAGAAACTGATGACTTTGAGTTATGATGTTGGAAGAGGTGTGCTGTACATCCCATGGACCAATGACAAACAAATATGTCTTGGAGAAGTGCAGCCTGGGTTCTTCTTGGAGGCAAGGAGGGTGAGGCATTTCATATAGTTTGGGCATGGTGGGTTTTTTGGGTGTTTTTTGTGGGGCCATGTTTTTAGTAGGGTTTAGTCCTTGGCTACAAGAACCAAATACATTTTTTTAAAAAAAATACAATCTTAAGTTTGACCAACTTGAAATTAAAAATAATTTCCAGAATAGGTTTGAGATATTAAACACTAATAGCTGAAGATTAGATGAATTATGGGATGACATTAAATCTGTCATCCATGAAAAGAGCAAAAGGTCATTACAAAGACAGAGGAGGAGAAATCAAAGACCAGAATGGATGTCAGAAGAGACGGAAAATTGCACTAGAGCATAGAGAAGCCAAAATAAAGGAAAGAAATGCTTAAGTAAAGGAGATGAGATGAACAGAAAATTTCAAAAGGCAGCTCAAGAAGACAAAGCAAAATATAAAGGAAGATGAAAAGAGCTGGAGTCAGAGAATAAGAAAGGAAGAACTCACTCAGCATTTCTAAAGCTGAAAGAAATTAAAAACAAATCCAAGCCTAGAATTGCTGTGGACAACTAAGACATGCTATGGGCAAAATCTTGAATGATCCAGAAAGCATCAAAAGAATATGGAAGGAATATAAAAGAGTCTCTGTACCAAAGAGAATTGATTGGCATTGAAAAAAAGGTACTATATTAAAAAGAAGTACTATATTAACAAGAGCCAATGGTGATGAAGAAGTTCAAGCTGCACTGAAGGCATTGTCAAAAAAGGCCCTAGAAATCAATGGAATCCAACTGACATGTCTCAACTAATATATGCAGTCCTGGACAAGTTCACCAGTCTGCCAGGAAATTTGGGGGACAGCTGCCTGGCCAACTGACAGGGGGAAAAAATCCAAAT